CGGGCACGCCGGACTCAACCGAGTGCTCGGCAGGCCCGTCCGCTATCCAAGTGGCCTTCTTCTACCTCTCCCTCTACCTCGTCGCATTCGCCTACGGCGGCCAGAAGCCCTGCGTCCAGGCGTTCAGTGCGGACCAGTTCGACGAGAGTGACCCCTGTTAGGAATAAGCCACGCATGAGTATGTGCTCATGTGTGTGATCTGCATGCATGGATGGATTAGTTAGCTAGCTATGGAGCCGGCGCAGCTGAGTCGCGTGGCAGTTCTGCGTGGAGGAAGAATAGGAAGCAATAGTTGAGGCTTGGTCCTATACGTGTGTATTCAAAGATTCTGGAGACTTGGCTGTTACCCAAGCGTGTGTAGCTAGCCCGTGGAGTACTAATCGGATCAAGCAACCGTGGGCTTGACCATGCATGCGTGTGTGCGTGGGGTTAGTGGGTGTGTGTGTGAGTCTTGTATTTGGCTATATAAGTTGAGTAAATGAATGAGAAAAGCTGCCGTGAGGGCTGGATACACAATGTAGCCGCGGTGGGCATCAAGGAAGTTTCTCTTGGCAAAGCCATTTTGGTCTTCTTCCTTGGTGCATGTGTGTGTCCGTGCGTGTGTAGAGTTCGTCACCATGTGTGAGAGTTGTGAGGAAGAAGAAGGGCGCTGCGGCGAGGAGGCGGCGCCAACAATTGGTATCAGAACTTGGTGTCTTGGGCGTGCTTGCCGTGCCGAAGGCGTGGCAGCGATGGCAGCGCTCGTCGGCGGCTGCGTGATGGAGCTCCGGGCCGTGTGTCAGCCTATGGAGGTGGGCGGCGTTGCGGCTACAATGGCGCGTGGCGGAGGCGGCGGGCGGTGACGTCGTACGTGCGGCGACCGCGGAGGCCGCCGAGGCGCTGCGTGGTGGCGCGGCGGCGCGGCACTGCATGGCGGCATGGAGTCCGCAACGGTGCAGGGCAATGAGCGCGGCGGCGAGCCGGGCGCGACCGGTGCGTGTTATGGGTGCGCACGGGACCGCGTCGGGCGCATTGGGACCGCAGGAGTGGACCTCGTCAAGGCGCTGGACCTGGTTGCGCAGATCGCGTACGTGCGCGGCGGGAGCGCGGGCCGGGAGCGCGGGGACGTGGGGAGTGCGCGCGAAGGGCAAGGCGGTCGCGGAGACGAGGAGGTCGCGAAGGACCTGCGTGGTGGCGCAGCGGTCGCGGCGGCTCGGCGCGACAACCGTGGAGGCGCGTGGCACGGAGCCGGGCGCTCGTGTCGGATGCGTCAGGCGTGTGTATGGGCGCGCGCCGGGCGTGTCAGGCGCGGCGGGACCATGGTGTAGGGTGGCCGTTGGCGAGCGGGGGTGTGCGCGTTGAGCTGGTCCATCGCGGGCTCGCCGCGCCCAAAGGTGTGCGTGCATGTCGGAGGGGGCGCGGGCAGAGCGGGCGCGGCGGGCGCTCGATGTGGGCTGGGACGTGGGTGCGTGCCCGGCGCGTCCCTGGATATAAAACCCCTCGTGTGTGTTGTAATTGCAGTGCCCGGAGTCGAGTTCGAGGTCGAGGGAATCAAGGTCGTTGGTGCGCCAGGAAGAGAAGCTGCGGCGTGTGTCGCCGGAGATGAAGAAGGGCGTTCTCCGTGGCAGTCGACGAGAGGCCGGAGTCCTGTCAGGATGGGCGGCGAGGTCGTGGCTTAGAGGGGAGAATGTTAGGAATAAGCCACGCATGAGTATGTGCTCATGTGTGTGATCTGCATGCATGGATGGATTAGTTAGCTAGCTATGGAGCCGGCGCAGCTGAGTCGCGTGGCAGTTCTGCGTGGAGGAAGAATAGGAAGCAATAGTTGAGGCTTGGTCCTATACGTGTGTATCCAAAGATTCTGGAGACTTGGCTGTTACCCAAGCGTGTGTAGCTAGCCCGTGGAGTACTAATCGGATCAAGCAACCGTGGGCTTGACCATGCATGCGTGTGTGCGTGGGGTTAGTGGGTGTGTGTGAGTCTTGTACTTGGCTATATAAGTTGAGTAAATGAATGAGAAAAGCGGCCGTGAGGGCTGGATACACAATGTAGCCGTGGTGGGCATCTAAGGAAGTTTCTCTTGGCAAAGCCATTTTGGTCTTCTTCCTTGGTGCATGTGTGTGTCCGTGCGTGTGTAGAGTTCGTCACCATGTGTGAGAGTTGTGAGGAAGAAGAAGGGCGCTGCGGCGAGGAGGCGGCGCCAACAACCCCGAGGAGCTCGCCTCCAGGGGCTCCTTCTTCAACTGGTGGTGCTTCGCCACAAGCGGCGGAAACACCATCACCATCTCGGCCTTGAACTACGTCCAGGAGAGCGTAAGCTGGCAGTTCGGGTTCGGGATCCCGTGCGCCGCCATGGCGCTCGCTCTCTCCGTCTTCTTGCTCGGAACCAGGACCTACCGCTTCTACCCACCGGAAAAGAACGGCGTCCTGCTCACGCAGCTCGGTGAACTGCTCGTCGCGAGGGCTAAATCCTGGCACTCGTCATGGTGTTCCAGTTCCATGTAATCAACCTTTTTCCTTCTATCCATCAGAAGTTCAGAACACTTTCAGTTGAGCCAATTTTTCTGAAACTGAATGTTCACTCGCTCGTTTGGCATCCATGCAGATTACCCGATGACGACTCACTCCCCTTGCTGGCTGATGCTCCGTCGGCGTCCAAGGAGAACACCAAAGATTTTCCTCACGAAGCCGCATCGCTGCTCAGACTGTTCCCGATATGGTCGACCTGCCTGATGTACGCCGTCGTCCTGTCGCAGTGGTCGACCCTGTTCACCAAGCAGGCGAGCACGCTGGACAGGAGGATCGGCACCCTGCTCGTACCGGCCGCCGCCATGCAAAACCTGAGCCACGCCGCAGTCCTCATCTTCCTCCCGATCTACGACCGGATCCTCGTCCCGCTCGCTACAAAACGCACAGAGAACCCTCGTGGCATCACCGTCCTGCAGAGGATCGGCGTCGGGCTGGCGATCTCGATCGTCGCGATGGTCGTCGCCGCGCTCGTGGAGACCAAGAGGCTCAGGATCGCAGCCGACCATGGCCTGCTGGACGAGCCTCAAGTTCCCATCCCCATGAGCTTGCTGTGGGTGGTTCCCCAGTTCCTGCTGGCCGGGCTGTCCGGCGTGTTCGCGTTCGTCGGCCTGCAGGAGTTCTTCTACGACCAGGTGCCGGGCTCCCTCCGCAGCCTGGGCATCGCTCTGTGCATGAGCATAGCCGGGGTTGGCTGCTTCATCAGCAGCTTTCTCGTGTACGCCATTGACAGGGTGACCAGCAGCGCCGGGGAGAGCTGGTTCTCCAACAACCTCAACCGGGCGCACCTCGATTACTTCTTCTGGCTCCTGGCTGCGCTCAGTGCCTTGGGCTTCTCTGCTTACCTGCATTTTGCACGGGTTTATGTCGTCAAGAAAAGGAACGATTCAGCTTCAGTACAGTGATGCGATGGTATCTACAGAGCGTTCAGTGCAATTTTCATGGACAATCAGTACAGTGAAGCTTGTCACAGAAAAATACTCCAAAGCTACACCGATGGCGATGGCGTGACCACAGAACAGCTCTGCATTTACAATGGTTTTCCAGAGAAATGGCCACGCTGACCTGATGTAAATATGTGAACATAATGTAGCAGTATGGTGTTCATGTTACACATATACTACATGTTCATGTTAGTGTCGAAAGCGTGCTTGATAATTTTCATGCGAACCAGAGCAGTTATGCTTCGGCTTCGCCAATAGTTAATAGAACAAGCAAAGTCCAATGGTCTATAAATGCCAAATATTTGGCGCTCAACTTCTTCTTTTTGCACATATCAAAAAGAAGAGTAGGGCATTTTGAAGACCGAGCTCCATTAAGGTCTTTATTTTAAAAAATTCAAAATTCAAACTTTTCAGTTTCAAAAATTTCTAAAAATAAATACACATGTATGCAAGGATGTAATGTGTCCGTGTGAAAAACTTCAGGATGAAATACCTTGAATTGCAAGGTGCAAGAAATAACAAAATCATAGGCTTTAAGGATGAACAATATATATGCTTAAAAGCCTCAGTTTTTTTTGTGTAGCTCTCATTTTAATGTATTTCAGCCTGAAATTTGCACACATGTTCATTATGTGTCTAGGTATATGCATAAAAAATTCAGAATTTTTTGAAACGAAAAGGTTTAAATTTTGAAGTTTTCAAATTAAGGCCTCCACGAAGCTCGGTCTCCGTTTGACATTTTTGTGATCTACGCACCTATAAATTTCTATATAATATATAGTACTTGTTTGTACTCCGTGTACACAAAAAAAGCCAATATGTCGATTTCAATTTATTTATTTGACAAATTTGTATTTTTGTGTGCAGCTCATTTGGTAATGCATTTTCTAATGAAAGACGGACATGCAATATATACATCTATACTTACATGCGGGAAATTTTCTTGAAGTTCATGTGTTCGGCAATACTCTGTTCCTTCGCCAGGGAGCGGAGCGGGCGGAGCACCCATCTGGCTGCTCGCCAAAATTGCACTGAGTGCCGCTCCGCTCCGCAGAGGAGTTGGGAGCGGAGAGATTCCGAACGGCCTCGGGCTCCAAAGGCCCCTCTTTCGGTACAAAGTCGTTGTCTCGCAAAAACAAAATGGAAAACCAAATGACAGGACTAGCATCGAATGAGAAGCAAGTCGTACTCACAACTCACACCAACCACGATTTTGTCTCTCGCCCAACATGCTACTCCCTCCGTTCCAAAATAGATGACTCAACTTTGTACTAACTTTAGTATAAAGTTGGGTCATCTATTTTGGAACGGAGGGAGTAATAGATAAACAGAAAATAGTGGCGAAAACTAAGACCTGAGGACGACCAACTCCACCACATGTAGATGCCGAATTGCCCATGGCGCTTCAGGCCATGGCAGCATTGGAGAGCATCTCAGCTCCTGCCCCATTGACCTTTTACCACCACTGTCATCAGTAGTCTATAGTTGCCCTCGGCCTCGGCGTCGGACTCCAAACGGAGGGACGAGCATCGGTAGCCGAGAAAAGACGTGATGGCATCGCCGGGAGCGGAGGCCGTGGCCGCCGTTGACCACCGCGGCCGCCCGGTCTCCCGGCGCTCCTCCGGCCGGTGGCCGGCCGCGCTCTTCGTCATCGGTACGTACAACGATATTACGACACGAGGCAAACCGCAGACGCGTTGCGCGCGCGCGTACGAGCTGGTGACGGCCGAGACTGATTTAACGGTAGCGCAGGGGTGGAGGTCGCGGAGCGGTTCGCGTTCGCCGGCATCTCCGGAAACCTCATCACCTACCTGACCGGCCCGCTCGGGCAGCCGACGGCGGTGGCCGCCGCGGCCGTCAACGCGTGGTCAGGCGTGGCCATGATGCTCCCGCTGCTCGGCGCCGCCCTGGCCGACTCCTGGGTCGGCCGCTACCGCACCATCCTCTACGCCTCCCTGCTATACATCCTGGTAGGCGAATTTCGCTGAGGGATAAAACCCCGTATCTCCAAGAAATCAGTTGGATTTCTCCCTTGAACTTCTCCATGGTTTCCAGGGGCTAGCCATGCTGACCATCTCGTCGGCGGCGCACGCCTCCGAGGGCACGCCACAGGCAGCATCCTTGGCGACGGCGAGCCCGTCCGCGGCCCAGGTGGCCTTCTTCTACGTCTCGCTCTACCTCGTCGCCGTCGCCTACGGCGGGCAGAAGCCGTGCGTGCAGGCGTTCAGCGCCGAGCAGTTCGACGAGAACGATCCCGAGGAGCTCGCCTCCAGGGGCTCCTTCTTCAACTGGTTCTTCTTCGTCACGGACGGCAGCGTCACCATCACCGTTCCGGCCCTGAACTACGTCCAGGACAGCGTGAGCTGGCAGCTCGGGTTCGGGATCCCGGGCGTCGCCATGGCGCTCGCTCTCGCCGTCTTCCTGCTCGGAACCAAGACCTACCGCTTCTACCCTCCGGCGAGGAATGGTGGCCTGCTTGCGCGGCTCGGCGAACCGCTTGTCGCCACGGTTCGATCTTGGCATTCATCATGGCGCACCTCCAAGTAATCAAGTTATTTTTGTTCTCCTGAAATGCTTCGATTCAGTTCATTCTTCTGAGTTCTGAAACTGAACCTTGCTCGATCACTCGGTCCTTTGGCACGCAGATTGTCTGACGACTCACAGCCATTGCTCGAAAGCTCCTCACTGTCACCCAAGGGGGGCACCGACAATGCCGGTTCCCCTCGTGAAGCGGCATCGCTACTTAGATTGTTTCCGATATGGTCGGCATGCCTGATCTACGCCGTCGTCTATGCACAGTGGCCTACTTTCTTCACCAAGCAGGCGAGCACGCTCGACAGGAGAGTAGGCAGCCTGGTGGTGCCAGCCGCTGCCATGCAGAACTTGAGCCATGTCGCGGTCATGATCATCCTGCCGATCTACGACCGGATCCTCGTTCCGCTGGCTAGAAAGCACACGGGGAACCCTCATGGCATCACAATGCTGCAGAGGATCGGCGTCGGGCTGGCGATTTCGATCGTCACGATGATCGTCGCCGCGCTCGTGGAGATGAAGAGGCTTGGGATAGCAGCAGATCATGGCATCCTGGATGAGCCTGATGCTGTTGTTCCTATGAGCTTGCTGTGGGTGGTTCCCCAGTTCCTCCTGGCAGGGTTGACCAGCGTGTTTGCATATGTTGGCCTGCTGGAGTTCTTCTACGACCAGGTGCCGGACTCCCTCCGCAGCCTGGGCATAGCTCTGTGCATGAGCATAGGTGGGGTTGGCTGCTTCATCAGTAGCTTCCTTGTGTACGCCATTGACAGGGTGACCAGCAGCAATGGGGGGAGCTGGTTCTCGAACAATCTCAACAGGGGGCACCTCGATTACTTCTTCTGGCTTCTGGCTTCTGGCTGCCCTCAGTGCCTTGGGCTTCTCTGCTTACCTGCACTTTGCAAAGGCTTATGTCGAAAAGAAAAAGAATTATTCAGTTTTGGTACAATGATGTACAGAACGTTCAGTGTAATAATCATGGCAAGTATCAAAGGAAGTGAAGTTTGCTACTACTGAAAATTGGCAGAAATGATTTGTTGGCATATTATAGGGAAGAGGTATGTTAAATTTGCCTGTTTTTGATATCTATGGTTACCCAGATGATGGTAGCAGAACAGCTCTGCATCACAACATCTTATGGAAATGGCCAAACACATAAAGTAGTAAACTGAGATATGGCCATACTACTCACAACCTCCGCAAAGTAACAGCACACAAACCAAACAGAGGACGCAGGAGAATATAATTAAGCTACGGCAACATTGTTAAGGTGATTCGATGATACAAATACAACAATACAAATCGATCATCTCATGGATTTCTTTTGTTAATTGTTCTGGAGGGCCAACATTTCAATCACTCTGATGCTATCTGCTGCGGCAACTAACAAACAAACAAAACTGCTTAGGGAGGTAGACGGGGGTCATCGATCAACATGCCACAAGTGATTTCCTTCCCAGGCATGCGAGGAGGGCAGGAGCGAGAAACTCCCATGTGTTCCTCAAAGTGAAAAAAGATGGCTAAGGTGTGCTCAGAGTGCTTAACATCACCCGTTTCGGTATCTTGATTTCAATTGAAAATCAGCTCTTTTGGCAGTGCTGGAGGTCTTCAATTGCATTCTTCCATTGCCAGGCACGCTGTTTTGCATCCTCAAATACGAACACCTTTTTTGGCTGTAAGAGAACTCAGTTAGGCGTGATAAAATAGAACGGCTACTAGGATAATACTAAGGAGCAGTAGCAGCAAAGAGGAATACCGTGGAGATCCTAAAATGCGAGGAGTTGGCTACTTGTACATTGAGTTCACTTGGATCATCAGACCAACTAATATTCCCCTTGGTCACCATCTTTGCAGGGTCAACACAGATCAACTGAGGTTTGTTGGTGAGGATTAGCTGGACCTTCTTATTTGATAGCTTATTAATCTTCTTCAGCTTAGATATCAACACTACAGATTCATCTGGCTCCAGGAAATCCTGCCTGCCACATTGTTAAAGCAATATGCACTGACATGAATCACCTCTCACTTGTGGAAAAATTGTGAGCATGTAGTCGACCGTTTCCCCCCGTTTTCATTTTTCTTTTCTCTCCTGTAAGTATAATAAAATGTTGTGATAGTCTGTATTTACCATCTAGAGTCGAAGGAGTCGATGGAAGCTAATTTAGATACATGGGACCGTACTTCAGAAGATGACGCAGCACCATTATTCCCAACAGGGACATTTTGGTTGGCATGTGCACTTCCCATGTGTGACAACCAATCTGAATCTTGATTATCCTCATCCTCATTTGCCTGAATAGGGAGATCATCAGAATGATAAAGAGTAGACTTAAGTGATTACACTGACATATGTAAGATAGCATACATTTGCCTCCACAGCGGGCTTTGGTGCACGCGTCTTCCTTATATTTTTCCAGTCAATACCTCTGAAGAAAGGATGTTTCTTCAAGGAAGCGTAACCATCAGGTCCTGCACCTGGTCGTTTGGTTGGATCAACATCCTGCAGAACGAAGAGTTTAAGCAGGCCCTACTCGTTGGAAATTTGACTTAGAGATCTAAGGATGCAGCTTCTCTTTTGGCTGGAGTGGAGACTATGCAATTTCATTATGTATTTAGAATATTACTGTATCTGATAAACCATGAAATGATCAGAACTAGGATAAGGGTTGTTTTTATGCTAGTAGCATTTTTCTAAGAACCATATATAACTTATGACCAAAAACAAAAAGAATGCAAGAAGTAATCTGTATAATTGTATACCAGCAACTTGTCAATGAGATCTCTTGCTTCATCCGAAAAGAACTCAGGAAATCTGAGATCCCTTGCAATAATTCGCTGGAAAATCAACCACTCACTGGCATCCTTAAATGGCGAAGAGCCAGAAAGCATTTGAAACAACGTGCACCCCAATGCCCACAAGTCATTTCTGTCACGAACATATAGAAACCCATCAGAAAAACGTGTATAAATCACTGCTTGTAATACCACAAAAAAAAACTGTTCTTTAGAAGCTTAACATCTTCACAACTGGCAGCAAACCAGGGTTAGAGATTCATCATGGAAGGTGGTTTTTCTTTGATGCAATGAACTTAAGTTATTCTTTCATAACAGCTAAAGAATGCATCAAGAATCTAATGTCTTCAGTTAAAAGAAGAAGAATCTAATGTCTTCAAAAATAGAATACAACACTTCCCATCTTATGCATACTCAGAAAAGGTGACTTTCTGATACAAATGTTGAACTGACAAGACATACACGATACTATGCTGATGGGACAGACAGATACCAGGAATGCATTTCAGCTAGCACAATTTGTACCGACTGTTATTTTGTGTACTACTCCCTCCATAAACTAATATAAGAGCATTTAGAACACTAAAGTAGTGATGTAAACGCTCTTATATTAGTTTACAGAGGGAGTATCATCTTGAAGTCTTTGATGTTATAACATGAAATTTTCAACTTCTGCTAGTAACCTAAAGTCCAGAAGCATGACAACACTGATAGCTAGGGCAGTCGTCTACAAGATATGTTTTCTGATGCCATTTGTAGCTTCTACCCAAGGTGCCAAGCACGTAGCCAATAAATGCCCAGTGCGATGCTTAATAATGTGATTGAATACATCACTCAGAGTCAAAACATAAAATCACATCAAAGAATGCAGTATTGTACTGTAAATATCACAAAAAATGGAATTATACCAAGAAAGCAAGGTTTATCAAGGGCATCAATGGATGAAGTTATTCACTTACCCAAAAGTTGCTGGGGCAGAGTTCAGGACCTCTGGTGGTACATATGCAGCTGTTCCGACAAATGTGCAGGCCCTCTCATCTGCACGGTAAGTGTAAGGAAAGCAGAACATTAAGAGCTTTACATCACCAAACACTAAGAGAACCCAGCACTGCATATGTTTATCTTACTAGTTGAATTTGGGAGGACTTTGATTGGAGTGTCCACAGTAGGCTTCACGCTACCAAAATCAGCAATCTTGATGTGTCCATCAGAAGTAAGGAGTAAATTTTCTGGCTGGAAGATCAAACAATGTGAGAAAGTCATTGTTGCTGATGGCATTAACTCAAAGACAAACATGAATCTCCGTTACAAATTCACACACCTTCACATCCCGATGAATTAGGCCTACGCTATGCAGATACTCCAGAATGTCAACAATTTCAGCGGCATAAAACCGTGCCTCGTCCTCGGACAGGCGGCCTTTCTGCAAGCAAGACCCGTGCATAAGAAGTAAATACAGAAGAGGAATCAACCACATTGTAAGCAGTTTGATACTAACCTGTACGATTTGGTCGAACAACTCCCCGCCTTCGCAGGACTCCAGTGCCATGTCTGCACAGTGAAAGAAACGGCGTGTTCAGGCAGTGTAAGCATCCAAAATGCAAGTAGCATTTGAGAACTAAACTAAAACTAAGTGTAGCCAGTTGTTAATTAACTAGTGTAATTCAAAGAGAGGCGGTACTGACAGAGGGAGTAGGTGTCCTGGAAGGTGAAGAAGAGCCTGATGACGCCCGGGTGATCGAGCTGGTCGAGCACGATGCGCTCCATCTTGACGTAGGAGATCTTGTTCTCCTTGGTGATGAACTTCTTGTCCATGATCTTGAGCGCGTAGACGTTGCCCGTGTCCTTCTTCCTGGCCCTCACCACCTGCGACCCACCGCACGCAAAAACAGAACAGCCTCAGCATTCAGCAACGGCAACATCAATGCCCACGATCCAGCTCCCCACGCGGCCAAGCCAGGGGGGTAAAAACAAGGGGGGAACCGTCAACTGGTTAATTAAACAAGGACGACGAGTCGACGACACGATCGTGCGCCGCACTAGCAGCGTGCGTCACCTTGGAGTAGGAGCCGACGCCGTAGATCTTGCCGAGCTCGAAGTCGCCGGCGGTGAACTGCTCCTGCGGCGCGCGGAAGGCGATCCCGCCTCCGGCCGCCGTGGGGGATGCCGTGGCCGAGGAGGAAGCGGAGGCGGAGGGGTTGGAGGGCGCGAGGCGCAGCCTGGCGGCGAAGTCCCTCTCCATGTCGTCGTCGCCGCCGACAGCCATTGCGCCGGAGCGATCGGGCGGGGCGGTATCTATAGGCGGCGGGAAAGGGGGATGGGCCCTGGGGTGGCGCGGCGCGGCCTCCGATGGCGGAGGCGGTCAACGGGTGGAACCATCGGATTCGGCTTGGGAGGGCGGGAAAGCGCGGCGCGGCGGGGCGGGCGGTGGGGCAATCGATTGGACTGCGACGGCCGCAGCCTTTCTTTCTCTCTTTCGCGGTGGGGTTGGGGCTGGGGTTGGACGAAGCGGAGGAAAGGAATCGAATCTAGGATGAGAGAGGGAGGGAGGCTGGGCTGCCCACAGTCGAGTCTACAGGATGAGGAGGAAGAGAGAGCTTTCCATGCCCGCCCGTTGCGTTGGTCGTTGCCTTGCCTTGTGAGGAGTCGTGGGTGCGTGGTCGAATCATGGGGATGAATGATGGAGTGAGGGTCTGGGAGAGATGAACCAGACGAACTGCCCTTCTTTTTCTGTTTTTTTTTCTTTTCTCGTGAATAAGTGTGTGTGAGACCAAGGAGGATTATCTGCTTTCACGTGGGCTGCTCACTCGGTTTACCACATTTCCAAATCAAGGAACGGGAAAACTGAAGAATTTATATTTTTCTGAGTGCGCTACGCGTCCGCCGGCTGATATTTTTAAAAAATCGTCCAGGCGCGAGCCGTCTGATTTGACGCAGCGAGCGGCCAAGCGTTACATCCACCACTGCAGCACATGCCTTGTTGCGAAAATTTCCTACAACACACAGACATCTTGTTGCAGAATTTTCAGCAACAGATATCTTGTTGCGGTTTCTTTCTTTTTTGCAACAAACATCTTGCTGTAGATTTTTTTAGCATTTTTCTGCAACAGCCGTTTTGTTACGGAATTGTTATTTTTGCAACAAAGAACTTGTTACAGGATTATATTTCTACAAAATAAAGCCGCTTCGCATCGCGCCGCCAAGATTTGCAACAACACCGTTGT